TCAAATGTACGGCTTATTCATGATTAAGACCCCATTCTCCCTTTTGCTCCAGCCTGGACACCCAGCCATCCACTTAGGGCAGCCCCTCATGGGCGACTCCTCCAGTGGGCGGTCCGGTGACTCGCAAGGACCCTAAATGGTGCCCTTCTACACGTAGAACACACAAAGAGGGGCAGGAGAAGGGTTAAAGGCAACCCTCACCGGGAGGTGTACGTGAGCCCCTCACCACGACAAGGCAACACCATGGAAGGGAAGTGAGAAGGCAGAAACCTCCAGAAATACAACTTTGAGCCACCAAATGGGACCCTGGAATCCGACCCGAGGGGTAGCAGCCGAGTGATCATACTCATAATGCCATGCACACTACAGTGCACAGATGGCGCACCACCAAACCGATACTATGTTGGTTAGTGCAGTGTAGAGATTAATAGTTGGCAGTCCAGGGGTTAAGGGGCAATTTTTGTCTCATATGTGCCTGTCCTCTTAAAATCAGTGATATTTTCCTTTGTCATGAGACCTCCCTCTAAACTTACTATTTTCTAAATTTTTTCTCTGCTGCTGCTGCTCTCTGTCCTAGACAGTATTTCTTTTTCTAAACACCCAAAAATTATTATGGACTTTCTTCAATCTGCAGTGTTTTGTACTAATTTACTGATGGTAACCAGTTCTTTCCTAATTGCTTGTCTAATGCCTGTTTGATGGGGTTTTGGGAGTTCTTCTACTCCCCAAGCTCGGCCCAAGGCCAGGTTCGACCTGTGAGAGCTTGGTCCACCAGGCTGTTGCTTTGAGCAGCCTGCAGGCCCACATACCCACCATAGCCCGGTTGGTCCGGCACTTTTTCTAGAAAACAATCTAGTTTTCTCTTAAAGATGTCCATGGTTGTTCCGGCAATATTTCTTATGCTCGCTGGGAGGACGTTGAACAACTGCGGACCTCTGATGTTTATACAGTGTTCTCTGATTGTGCCTATGGCACCCCTGCTCTTCACTGGTTCTGTTCTGCATTTTCTTCCATATCGTTCACTCCAGTACGTTGTTATTTTACTGTGTACATTTGGGACCTGTCCCTCCAGTATTTTCCACGTGTATATTATTTGGTATCTCTAGTCTCCTTTCTAGCGAGTACATTTGGAGAGCTTTGAGACGATCCCAATAATTTAGGTGTTTTATCTCGTCTATGCGTGCCGTATATGTTCTTTGTATTCCCTCTATTTCAGCAATCTCTCCTGCTCTGAAGGGGGAAGTGAGTACCAAGCAGTACTCAAGACGGGACAGCACAAGTGATTTGAAAAGTACAACCATTGTGATGGTTGAACTTTCAAATCCCTGGATTTGAAAGTTCTCGTAATCCATCCTATAATTTTTCTGGCTGACACAATATTTGCTTGGTTATGCTCCCTAAACGTTAGGTCATCGGACATCATTATTCCCAAATCCTTGACATGCTGATTTCCTACTATGAGCAGATTCGATTGTATTTTGTACCCTGTATTATGTTTCAGATCCTCATTTTTGCCGTACCCGAGTAACTGGAATTTATCATTGTCAATCATCATCTTATTTTCTGCTGCCCAATCGAAAACTTTGTTAACACTTTCGCTCGGGGATGACGCAGCATTGCGTCATCCGTTTACTGGCGGTAATGCCGGGGATGACGCAGCATTGCGTCATCCACTTTAAAAATTCGCCAAAAATCAGGTTTGTATCCGATTTTTTGGGGACGGGTTTTAAAATGTGCGCCGATGTCTTCCCGTTTCCTTTGTTGAGCCTCGTGGCCCTCAGGCGGCTTGGCACACGCCGTGGGCCCATTGTCTTTGCTCCACTGTTGTGACCAATGTCGTCTCCCCTCGCATCTCAAACGTGTGAACATTTCGGCTATTTTCCGTGGCTATATTTCTTACTGCGGCTTTAGAAACTATCTACGCTTACTCCACGATGGATAGTAATCATGAACAAGGCCCTTCCAGGAAGAAAATTGCGAAAGAAAGGCTTGAAAAGGGTGGGAATTGGGAGTGTAGTAGGAAGGCCTCTGAGCGCTCACTCACGGCTAACGCATGGCCCGTCTTCAACTCGTCGGCGGTTGGAGCGTGACCAGGTGTTTTTTTTTATATGCTAATGTTCCTCTAGAGAATTTTATTACGAACCCATTGAGACCAAAATGAAAGACCTAGGACAAAAATTGAGGTGACCAGAGTGAAAATAGTGAAAACATTTTATCCCGTTTGCGCGCTCCCGGGTAACTCGTTCGCACTTTCTCTGTTTGCTGCGGGTAATTAGCCGGGCTTTTGGAGTTTATATGCATTTAGTGCTGTAGAGAATTTTATTGCGAACACAATGATACCAAATTTATTCTCGTAGAAGGAGAATTGAGGTGACAAAGTTGAAGAGAGTATACACTTTTTGGAATTAACGCGCGCTTCCGTGACACGCTGGGGCCCATATCGCCCTGTCGAGGGGTGGCGCGCGGGGTGAGCGAAAGTGTTAATATCTGCTTGTAGTTTTTCAATGTCTTCAGCAGAGGTAATTTTCATGCTGATTTTTGTGTCATCTGCAAAGGATGACACCAAGCTGTGACTTGTATTTTTGTCTATATCTGATATGAGAATAAAGAAAAGCAGTGGTGCAAGGACTGTACCTTGAGGTACAGAGCTTTTAATTGTGCTTGGACTCGATTTTATTTGATTGACTGTTACTCTTCATGTTCTGTTCGACAGGAAATTGAGTATCTAGCGTCCTACTTTTCCAGTTATTCCCATTGACCTCATTTTGTGTGCTATCACTCCATAGTCACATTTGTCAAATGCCTTTGCAAAGTCTGTGTATACAGCATCTGCATTTTGCTTTTTTCTAAAGCTTCTGTGATTTTTGTCAGTGGTTGAGTAACTGTGAGAGACAGGATCTTCCAACTCTAAATCCATGTTGTCCTGTGTTGTGTAGCTCATTATTTTCCATAAAACTAGAAAATTGATTCCTAATCACTCTTTCAAAAACTTTTATTATGTGTGATGTTAGTGCAACTGGTCTATAATTTTTTGCCAAGGCTTTACTACTCCCCTTGTGCAGAGGAGCTATATCTGCAGATTTAAGTGCAGCTGGTATCTTCCCTGTATCCAGGCTCTTTTTCCACATTACGCTGAGCACTCGCATTACTGGTACTTTACACTTATTTATGGATATTGAATTCCACGAGTCAGGCCCAGGAGCTGAGTGCATGGGCATATTGTCAATTTTTCTTTTAGCGTCTTCTGAGTTCATGTTAATATCCGTTATATTTTCTGCAGCTTGAATGTCATTCATAAATTAGCTGTCTGGATCATCAACTTTCATGTTGTTTATTGGTGTGCTAAACATAGCCTCATACTGGCTTCTTAGAATTTCACTAATTTCTTTGTTGTCCTCTGTGTAAGTACCTTTAGTTGTAATTAAAGGTCCCATACTGGTGGAGGTTTTTTATTTTGATTTTGCGTATGTGAAAAAATATTTTGGATTTTTCTTCATCTCTTTTATAGCTTTCTGTTCCAATTCCATTAACTCAGACTCTTATGATTGCTTCAATGTTTCTCTATTTCTTCGATCTCCCTGTTCAGGTTTATTTTCCTTTCTTGTGGTAGTTGAGTTCTTGTAATGACGAACATCTTGTTGGTCATTTCTGTTTTTGACTTCCTAACAAACTTCCTTGATCGTTTCTTTCTCTTTTACACCTTATGCATATGTTTCATTTATTTCTCCACTGCAATTTTTCAATGTCATGTTATGGAATGTGGAATAGGAGAACATAGATCCCACACAACCTATAAATTATGTGAGAAATCTTTAAAGAATTCTGATAAAGAGAGAGACCAATGGGTGGTTCTAGATAGAAAACTACCACCTGAGGATCAATTAAAGAACATCGTGTGAGGAGCCTGTGCTACACTTTCTGACTTCAGAATTGCTTTTAAATACATGGATGGCAAAATACTAAAGAAAATGCTCACGACTTTTGTTAGGCAAAAGATAGAATATGCAGCGGTTATATGGTGCCCATATCTTAAGAAGCACAACAACAAACTGGCACTAACAACGAACTGAAGGACAAGAGCTACAAGGAGAGGTTAGAGGCATTAAATATGCCAAAACTAGAAGATAGAAGAAAAAGAGGCAATATGATCACTACGTACAAAATAGTAACTGAAGTCAATAAAATTGATAGGGCAAAATTCCAGAGACCTGGAACTTCAAGAACAAGAGGTCATAGATTTAACTAAACAAAGCTGCTGAAGAAATACAAGAAAATTCACCTTCGTAAACAGATTGGTAGACAGTTGGAACAAGTTAGGTGAGGTGGTGGCCAAAAGGCCAAAACCGTCAGTACTGTAATTTCAAAGGGTTCTATGACGATGGGTGCTGGGAAGACGGGACACCACGAGTGTAGCTCTCATCCTGTAACTTCACTTAGATAATTACATATTCACTAGGCGAGTACATACATACCATACATTGGTGGAACCTCCATATTCATCATAATTTGTTCCCGAGGGCCTAACAAACATGGAAACTGATGAATATGGGAAAAAAATTTCATAGGAAATAACCAAAATTCAATTAATCCATTCAATAACCCCACAAAAATACATAAGTAAAAATTTAGTCAGAACATTACCTTTAATGTACTGAAGAGAGATGGTGGTAGAAGCTGAAGAGGAGACAGGACATTATTGTTTAGAAGGGGAGTCGCCTTCCATTAAATTACTGTATCAGGCAACTCCAATTCTGGTGAGCGTTGTCGTTTGTTTCCCTCTGTCGACAATTCACTAGCACTTGATTTTGCAAAGAAATTATCCATTGTACTGTTTTTCAAACTTTCCTGAAGTAGCCAATCACATTATCACTGAATGCTTTTACTATGGCAATGTTTGGGTGCCACTTTTCGACCATATTCCATGACGAATACGGAAGCATTTTTCGGCAGTGACGAATATAGAGGTTCCACTATACATATATTTCAAATGAAAGCAACACAAACTTTATTCTTTTATTTAAACAATATGTCATTCCATCACAGAAACATTGTACAAGTCTCCTTCAGTACATATGGGTTGGGGGGCATATTATACTGTCTGATAGGTACTGTACTTACATTTGCACTCCTTGTATATAAAGAGGCTCACATTCAATTTGAAAGACCTGGCAAAGTGCAAACCTCTATTTTCTTACTGAGACATATCTTGCATATCTGGTCAAGAGAGTTTGTGAATGAGGTATACACTAACTTGCAAATAACTTCTAGCAATGTAAAAAGAGAACTCTTAGCACAATTTCTCTTAATTATGTACATAAAATCAAATTTACAAGTTTGAACATATGTGTATTTTTCTAATGACAAGATGAATATTGTGAAACACGGGTACTGATGTTGTATGAGATGTGTGAACTGGCTAAAATATGTCAATTCTATATTTTAAGCAACACTAACCAGCTTGATGTTGTCAAACACGTCCATTTTACCATCGAAATACTTCCATAACATCATTTCATAGTGACTGAGTATTCACATACCACTTCAAGTTAAAAATGAAGGCAAACTTAATGTACCACCTCCTGACATCTGTTTCTGCTTGTACAAACACATTATCAAAGTTGTTAAAACATAACCAATCATTAAATTATGCTCTTAAAACATCCAAAATTAACAAAATAAGAATGAATAAAACTTTTCCTCTGAATGCATCCTTTCCCTGATGGTATGGCTTGTATAACCAAAATGTTGCTCACATATCTCACGACTTAAGTGACCTAACAAAACAAGTCTCCTATGAAGGCATCACTTTTCAAAGGAGGTAAATTTTCCTACAGCTAACTTTACATATCTCACTCACAAGATGTCTAAGCATATCACTCGTAAATCATTAAGATAGAGAGATGACTCAAATCATATCCACAGGCAAGTGATGAGAAAGTGTACATTCATTACACCTGGAAATTTAGTATACATTACTGAGTACAAGACCATTTGCTAAATTCTTCCTTATGAAGAACTGGGAGGCACAGTATGTTTGCTCAGGTCAGGATGCACATGGATATTAACACACTTTCTACCATGGACAGACATTACATGATTCCTTTGGTGAGACTGTGATGATTCTAAATTAAGAAAAACACATAATGCTACTATAGTTTTGTCAGGTCCCATTTGTCATTTCTGTACAAAAAAGTAACCTTTCATTTGCAAAACTTCCCTAATTACAAAATATGATTCAAAATTGGCAAAGTCAAAGTGACTCCATAATGTCGTAACTATGTCAACCACATATTAGCATAATGATTGCTATTGGAATCTGCAACAACATTAATGGTCGTGTTAGTCATTGCAGAATCTGTAAATGTGGCCGTGGTGGAGAGAGAATAGCAGCGGCGACGGTGGTGGTAGGTGTTATGGGAGGGGTTGCAGTTGAGACCGTTTTGGTGGTAGTGTTGACGTCACGATGTCATCATTTCACTCCCACTACTTCCACCACTACTAGTAACTGGTCCCTTCAGGGAGTCATTTATGTCACGACGGAAAACTGACAAATTTTGTGTGAATCTGAAGAAGGAATTGATAATAAAAGTACATTAATATGGTTAAAAACAAAATCCCATATACTGACATTTGCCTATTTACTGAAAATATCTTGCACAAACCCATTTACTAACACGCTTTAATTTGTCTATGCCCCTCAAGACCTTGTATGCAAGTATCAAATCCCATTTCTTCTCTCTAATGTTGTTAGAGTGAGCTCTTACATCCTAGTACTAATCTAGTTGCAAACCTCTGTACTTTCTCAAGCTTTTGTTTATGCTTCACAATGTGTGTGTGGGGGTTCCATGCTGGTGCTACATACTTAAGTAATGTCTCACATAGGCAGTATGTATGGACTTGATCATCATCTTATTTACATTCTTAAATGAGATTCTTATGTTTGTTAACATCCCATATGCTGCTTATGTTACCTTATTCATATGAGCTTCAGGTGTTAATGTTGAGATTGTCTACTCCCCAGGTCTTTTTCACATATTGTTTCATGTATTTGCTTTCCCTCTTATGGTGTAGTTAGGTACAGGTCTGTTATTTCCCTTACCCATTTTTATCACTTTACACATATTTTGACTGAATTCCAACAGCCATTTATCTATCCACTCCTGAAGTTTGTCAAGCACACTACTGTGCTTGTAGGGTGCTTGACATAAGCTTTCCGGTTACACAACCGAAAAGGAAGCAGCCTTTCCGGTTGCCTTCCCTTCGGTGATGTAACATCATCACTGTTTCCTGCGTGTCTGTGAAGGGGTCAGGTTTTGGCTCTGGTCCCCAGTAGATCTAAAGAACTCTGCAGCTCATATGACCTGGTAGTTGATACACTATCAGTGATGATAGCTTCAGAGAGCCACCGTGGATCATGTAGTACAGCTGCTAAAGTGAACATGTTTTGATGGACTTAGCTTGGAGGTGGTGGTTTTGATGTTCTGACAAGGAGGCCTTGTCAGAGACCGAGCTGCAAACACTCTGATTTCCGAAATCGTCAACAGGTAGGTTGACAATTGACAAGGGTCAATCCGAGTTAACAATAGCTCGCGTCATATGACAAAAAATATCTGGGGATAATATTCAGTGTGTGTGGTGATATTATGGGTATCGCACATGGTCAATAGATGGCTCTGGCAACCTGTGCACCATAGGGCAATAAATTCCCATTCTTAATAAGCATACGAATGTGAGGATGGGAGTTGCAGAGAAGTTCATGGTCTTTCGAAATGGAAAATGCTGCGGTGTTCATGATTTACTGGATAGTGACAGTGAATTCAGTACTCTGATACAAGTGAAGATTAGAATTAGTCCCTCTTGGCAGGATGGTAAACAGAGGAAGAAAATTTACATTACAATGCTAGGTTGGCCTATTGTTCCCATGGCCCCTGCTCTCCATATCTTCAGTTTCATTAAACTTTGCTTTTCTTGTTACTATTATTTAAGTAGTTTTGCTTGCCATAAGAAGCTAGCTCATGGAGCATTTGTGGGATGTTCTTGAGGTTACCTTGAGATGATTTCAGGGCTTTTAGTGTCCCCGCGGCCCGGTCCTCGACCAGGCCTCCACCCCCAGGAAGCAGCCCGTGACAGCTGACTAACACCCAGGTACTTATTTTACTGCTAGGTAACAGGGGCATAGGGTGAAAGAAACTATGCCCATTGTTTCTCGCCGGCGCCTGGGATCGAACCCGGGACCACAGGATCACAAGTCCAGCGTGCTGTCCGCTCGACTGACCGGCTCCCGTTAGATCTTAGCTCAAAACTGGGTGTCAAAGGAAACGCATAAACAACATGAAAGTGGAAGATCCAGACAATTTCTTTATGGATGATACCCAAACCCCTGTAAATATAACTGATATCAACACAAGCATACTAGACTTTGAAAGAGAAATTGAAAACATGCCCAAGCACTCACCTCCAGGTCCAGATTCATGGAATTCAATTTTTATAAAGAAATGCAAGGTGCCTGTAGCACAGGCACTCAGTATAGTGTGGAGGAAGAGCTTGGACACGGGGGAGATACCACATGCACTTAAAGTAGCAGACATTGCCCCTCTACACAAGGGAGGGAGCAAAGCATTGGCAAAGAATTATAGACCAGTTGCACTAACGTCCCACATAATAAAAGTATTTGAGAGAGTCATTAGGAGTCAGGTCAGCAATTTCATGGAGACCAATGACCTTCACAACCCAGGCCAACATGGATTTCGAGCGGGAAGATTGTACCTCTCACAGCTACTTGATCACTGTGACACGGTCACCGAGGCATTAGAAGAAAAACAGAATGCTGATGTGGTATACACGGACTTCGCAAAGGCTTTCGATAAATGTGACCATTGAGTGATAGCACACAAATGAGGTCAATGGGAATAACCGGTAAAATAGGACGCTAGATATTCAGTTTTCTGTTTACAAGCAGGACACAACGAGTAACAGTCAATCATATAAAATTGAGTCTAAGCGCAGTTAAAAGCTCTGTACCTCAGGGTACAGTCCGTGCACCACTGCTTTTCCTTATTTTCTTATCAGATATAGACAAAAATACAAGTCACAGCTTCGTATCATCCTTTGCAGATGACACAAAAATCAGCATGAAAATTACCTCTATAGAAAATTACCTATACATTGAAAAACTTCAGGCAGATATAAATAAAGTTTTCGACTGGGCAACAGAAAATAACATGATGTTATTAATAACATGAACAGTGATAAATTCCAGGTACTCAGGTATGGTAAAAATGAGGACCTTAAACATAATACAGGGTACAAAACAAAATCAAATGTGCCCATAGTGGGAAAGCAGCATGTAAAGGATTTGGGAATAATAATTTCTGACGACTTAGCATTTAGGGAGCATAACCAAGCAAATATTGCATCAGCTAGAAAAATGATCGGATGGATTATGAGAACTTTCAAATCCAGGGATCCCATCACAATGGTTGTACTATACAAATCACTTGTACTGTCCTGTCTCGAGTACTGCTCAGTACTCACTTCCCCCTTCAAAGCAGGAGAGATTGCTGAAATAGAGAAAATACAGAGAACATATATGGCATACATAGACGAGATAAAGCACCTAAATTATTGGGATCGTCTCAAAGCTCTCCAAATGTACTCACTAGAAAAAAGATGAGAGAGATATCAAATAATATTCATGTGGAAGATAATGGAGGGCCAAGTACCAAATCTACACAGTAAAAATAACAACATACTGGAGTGAACGATATGGAAGAAAATGCAGAATAGAACCAGTGAGAAGCAGGGGTTCCATACGCACAATCAGAGAACACTGTATAAACATCAGAGGTCCGCGGTTGTTCAACATCCTCCCAGCGAGCATAAGAAATATTGCCGGAATAACCATGGACATCTTCAAGAGAAAACTAGATCATTTTCTCCAAAGAGTGCCGGACCAACTGTGGTGGATATGTGGGCCTGCGGGCCACTCCAAGCAACAGCCTGGTGGACCAAACTCTCACAAGTCAAGCCTGGTCTCGGGCCGGGCTTGGGGAGTAGAAGAACTCCCAGAACCCCATCAACCAGGTATCAACCAGGTAAAACCAAAACTTAGCCAGTCCCTTAGATGCTTCTTTGACACATTTCTTAGATGCTTCTGATCCCTCCCCTTAAGTCTCTTTCTGAGCTTACTTGGTTTTCTGGGCTTCAAGTGTTAGTTTGTGGCTCTCTTGTGGCAATGGTGTTGTCACCTGGTCATGGTCAAGGTACGGTCATCTGTAAACTGGTAGTTTACAGTGATAACTGCCATTCCATTCCTTGTATTTCTAATTACAGTATCACTAACAGGAGGTGACAAGGTTATTGCACTCCCTCATTTGTATTACTGAACATAAAGAGCAAAGCTGATCCCTTGTTGGTGTCTGAGTTACACTCGCCACTTTCCTTTCCTAAACACGTGGGTGGACCACGAAGCTCAAGAAGCACGCGAGGGTCTTAGCTCAGAAAAGGAATTTGCGAATACTGTATACTTATAAAATCTATATAAATTATTCTACATATACAAATTCAGTAAAATATAAATAAGAATATAGAAATTACATGGCATTAATAAATTCATAAATAATTCCTGCAAGTTCTGGAATTAAGCTAATACGTAGATGCAAGGTCGTTACTCACTATTTCAAAATCATCATAAGTAATTACACAAATACTTGAGCTAAAATTACTATTTTCTGTACTTATTACATACATATACTCTGCAATTCTATGACACAAAGTATCGAACTTTCAGTTAGTAGCAGATAGAAAAATTACAGCTTCAAAACATAAGTATTAGTTTTTGTGTAATTGGAAAAATATATTAGGTAATATAGTTCAAATATTTTACAGGTATTTTCTTTAGAAAAGTTTGAATGAAAATTTATTGGATGAAAATGATTATATTTAACTAAATTAATGATTTTACAATGAAAATAAATGAAATAACTTACTTATCTCTATTTTTTGTGAGAAGATTTGGCTCAATCCCCTCCATAAGGCTGTCAAACCACTGTGCCATCGCCCCTTGTTTGTCTGGTGCTTGTTGACTGATAATCTGTTGTCTCAGCTGGCCAAAATACTGTGGAGATAAAAAGACCAGCTTTGAATATAATGAAACACTTCTTTCTGGTAAAGCGTTAAGAAAAGAACCCAAACACATTAAGACTGATGCCCTACAACGAAACCTAACCAATCCCTGAACCCGAGATAAATAGTGACATGTTAATGTGCCTCCCAGATGCCCAGAGGCACATTAACATGTTCATTTAGGAACATGGCCTCTAGGAGCATCACAGGACATGGCATCACATTAGGAGACCAACGTTAATACCAGGTAAATCTGGGCCAAAGTGGTCACCTGGAACGTGGGGCAAGGGATGAAGGTTTTCAAACCCAAGAGATTGAGGACAAACCAGAGCTCTGCAGAGTCCCATTTCGGAATCGGGAATAGACGGGACACCCACCAAAAAGATATGGTAATTTTGACCATGCCAGTAGCAATCCACTTTGAGGCAACTCATTGAAGGTGAGGGGAAGAGGGCCTGTCCTGAAAAGGGAAAGGATCGATCAACTATATTGCAGATCACACAAAACTACCCGAAAAGCCTACAAATCATGGGACTGGAAGCTGGCAAAATAAGTGAGCCCTCCCCCTTCAGCCCTTCTGCCTCCCAAAAGAGTTGGCACAAACCATAAGAAGCAAGACCCCTTTGCAAATTGCACATGATCTGAATATGACCTTGCATATTCTGGCTCTACCTCGGGCCTACTTCAACGAACAGCCAGTGTTGCCACAGTCCTTCCTGCCTGCCTCCAGGAAGGAGATCAGAAACCATGAGTACAAAGAAGGTCTGAAGTCGATTGACAAGACACTGCAGTTGAAGAGACTGACCAACTACTTTCTATGGAAAGAGAAGCAAAAAAAAAAAAAAAAAGGGGGGGGGGGAGGTAAACAAGAGAGGCCAGGGGCCCCAAGAAGATTATAACGACTGGGCTGAGACAGCCTGCTGGCAAACAAGGCAGGCAACGAAGAATGCAGCTCCTGCCTCCCAGAACACAGGCACATATAGCTTGTACAAAACTGCTGATGCTGCCACAATAGATACCAAAGTACCTACACCAGACGCAGAACCAAGCACTTCAAACAGCCTCGTGGAACCACTCAGAGTGGAGCTCCATGGCAGCCAAAAACCACACGACCAAAGCCAGATGCAAGCGAGCCTGAAAGTCCTCCATCACGAAGGACTCTGACAGTCATTGAGTGGCACAAAAGATGTGCTGGCCAAAAATACTTGAAACACTGTCGCCACCTCAAGTTACTCAAGCAAGCAGGAATAACAAAAGCCACACAAGTCCCAAGGAAAAACGAATGATTGTCTGCTAACCAGGGCAACACCAGGACCTCATAACACAACCAAAAGGCAGAAGACAACCTGAGCTCAAAAGAGGCATACTCCAGGTCATGCAGGAGTTACTGAAACAGATCCTCACAAGCTACTGTCAGAGTGACTTAAGATGAAGGAAACCCTCCAGAAGGATGGGTCTGACACTCCAAATGGATGCAAAAATGCACCCTATAGAGAGCTGCATTAAAATCAAAATTATACAAGGAGGGGGGGATACAAGAACCCCCACCCCCTCTCTGAAGCAAAAGGCCTTAGTCCAAAAGAACACCCACCCACTTGGGGTCCAAGGGAATCCAAGGGCTCATATCTGACTCTTCCCATGACGACCCTGGAAACCAACCATGAAGATTCTGGGGCTGAGCCTGCATCCTTGTCCACAGCACAAGACAGAAAAGTGGAGTCCAAAAAAAAGGTTTCACAAGAAGGGGCTAGTTAGAAAGAAAACCCCAAAACCTCAGTGGGATCAGCTGGCTTGACTTCCTCATGCCTGAATTGGAAGGAGCCGCCTCTGGAAGTGGCCAAGCCACATCCTGAGCAAATCGCTGCCGAAATCTGGAAACACTTGGAAGCTTCGAGGCCAAAAACAAGAAGGAAAAGTTCAGAGGCACTGTGAACCACACCAGAAGGAAAAGAAAGAGAAGGTGCAGATGGAACCAAAGTGGTGTTCACCAACACCTCCAATTCCATGTCCCTAAACACAAGACAGGCCAACCCCAGGGCATCCAACCGGGCACACAACCTAGACCACTACCACAAGCCTACACAGTGGCAGCCGCCTGATATGCGCGAACCTCATTTTGAGGGTCAGGAGTGCAAACTTCACAGGATTCTGGGTCATAGGTGTGTCTAACCAAACAGGAGGCCTGGTGGAGGCAGAATAAAAGATCGTCACACTGTGGCACAGATGATGAACACCAGTCAAAGTTGCCCAAGATAAGAATGGGTTTGGAAGGAATATCCATAGGCCAACTGAACTTGTAAAGGATTTCCAGGGACTGAAGGGGAAACCAAGCAGGCCACCTAGGCACTAGTAATGCTACACCAGACCTAAAATAAAGACAATAGCCTCGGCTACATGGATGTGAAGGCCGACCTCACAGCGCCATATATATAAGCACATGAGCCATCAGTGCAACCCACCAGACAACACTGCTCCCGACTCAAGTCAAGACAGAGAGGCGGTTACCTATCTTGCGGTTACCTTGCAATGATTTCGGGGCTTAATGTCCCCGCGGCCCGGTCCTCGACCAGGCCACCAGGGCAACAAGACCTCTGACTCACCCAAGGTGAGGGTCAACCTAAGCAGGAATGACCTCTAAGGGAGTGAACTCCCAAACACAGCAGATAAAGAGAACTCTGACAGTGCAGGGGCACTGCTAGAGAGCACTCAGGGAAGACCACCCTGAGCACATGCAGCTCAGGGTTGAGCTGCATGTGCTCACAAGCACTCTAAAAGCCAGACCCATGCTATATCACAGTATAGAAAATAAAGAACACAGGACAAAGTCCAGAAAAGGATTTAGTTGAAAAGCACCGGGACCAGCCACGGCTACTGATGACCCTGGGGGCCTACTGCAGACATCTGGAAGGCGTCGCATCAGCAGAGGAACTGAGGGCTTGAACCAGTGGACAGCATGAGATCCAGCCACCCTCTTTCCCCATAAACAATAGGAGGGGGTGGGGTGAACAAGCGAATTCTTATTTCGAGAAATTTTTGAGCATTTCTTTACATGTTGGGGCAGGTTGTGAGGATTTGGTCTCTGAACAAGCAGTAGTATGGATTGGATTGACTTCTAGGGCCTTTCCCTGTGAGTTGGCAAAGTGTCGCCTGCTTCCTGTATCTCCGTGAGGCCAGGTTGTGGCTCTGGTCTCCGGTAGGCTGAACTCAACTCCATAGCTGATGCGACCCAGTAGTTAAGGGCTATCTCAGTGAGAGAGCTTCAGGGAGCCACAGTGAGAAAACCAAGATTAAAAAAATGGGAAAAAATAATATTTAATAAAAATTATTTTTTTTTGTATTAAATTACAACTTGTATTTCAATACATCTTACCAGGAATCTGTTTTATCATAAATCTTAATTCAGAGGAAATATTTGGTGTGGATTTTAGTGAAATCTGCTATATTAAGGTTTGAATTTTCATGGGTGCTATTGCAGTATTAAATGCTGTAAAGAGATTTTATTCATGAAGTTGAGCATGTGTCAGTCACTGGTGTAATCAAAGACAGATTTGATATAAATGAAGATTATGCCAGAGTTGTGTAATGTTCTTATAGATAGAGTTATAGTGGAGTTTAAGGTAAGATTACTAGAAAAGGGTGTGAAATTTTGTATGTGATAGCAATAAATGAAGTATATAAAATATGATGTATGCAGATCATCATATATTGATGACCTATCAAAATATCAATACTGTACTATTTTATCAAAATATCATATTTTGATATTTTTGACGTCAGTTCACCTGACAACAAATGACTGAGATAGATTTATAGAAAGTTATAGTTTTGTTGATGCAGGTGAGAGAAGATGGCTAAGAGAGAATGTGGACACAAGTAATGGTGGTGGGAGAGAAATGGAAACTTTGCATGTGAAATAAGGGTAAATAGAGAAGTCCCAGCAGAGGTTAATTGGTTTAAGTACCTAAAGTCTGTAATGAACAAAATTGGAATTTGTGCAAGAGAAGTTGAGATTAGAAAAAGTACTTTTAGGAAGTGTCTGCCTGTCAAACGCACGATGAAACTTTGATGTTGCCACAACACTTGAACAAGGTTTAACACTTTCTAACAATTGTAACAGTAAGTTGTAACAAACAATCTAATACGTCATAAAAACATTATAACAAGATGTAACAACTATATTAAAATTAATAACAAGGGAATCATAGGGACCGCTACATTGTATGTTTACAGGGTGGTGTACCGAAGACGTTGGTTAGTAAGAATAAGATTGCAAGAGATGCAGCAAGAGAGGTGCATGAATTAGCGAGTAATAATTATCCTTGATTCTGGATTTAAGATGTTGGCATGGCACGAGTATCAAAGGTCAAGTATTAAAGCAGCAGAAATGGACAGTTGTGATGTATTTATGGGGAGGGGAGAGAAAGAGAGGGGGAAAAACGGAGAGGGGAAAATGAAGAGATAAAAAATGGAGAGGGGAAAATGAAGAGGGCAAAACGGAGAGGGGAAGAGAGCCGGAGAAACAGAGAGGCGTAGCCAGTAGCAGTAGTAGTAGTAGTAGCCATCAGTAGAGAGAGGAGGGAGGGAGGATGTAGGGGGAGAAAGGATAGGGAGGATGGATCCAAAATATGATGATATGCATACAATCGATTAAGCCAGGATTGAGAGTGAATACTGCACAAGAAGTACTGGGGAATAATGTGAGGTAGAAGCTGTCTATTATAAATAACTCATTGGAAGCCGTGGAGCACTTTTTTTATTGGATGATTTACTGCAGTGTGATTGTGCACAAGTTTAAGTGACAACAGGTAGCGTTGAAGATTGGCTGAATAGGTGGGGTGCCTTTGGGGAATTTTTCACCTTTTTCAATTCATCTGGGCTCATACCCTTCCCCCCCCCTCCCAACCCATGAAAGTAGGAAACAGCAAAATGCACTAACAGTAGGCAACTAATATAGAAAGTCTATATAATTAGTCTATAGAAAGCATAATCTAGTCTATAGAAACGTTAGGCCTAAGCCTAAACTGGCTTAGGCCAGTTTATTGTATATTGGCTGTACTGTATATTGGCAACTGGCAGTTGCCAATATACAGTAGGAAAATGTTTTAAAATTCCAATAAAAAGTTGTAATAAATCTTAACTTGACACCAAAGAGTATGAACTGTACCTCATTATTTAATAAGATTAGTGGCAGAAGTGGACGGGACATACTCCACTGGTTTCTACAATCTTCAAACATGATGATGTTGAGAACCGTGGCTAACATCTGTTGGAGGATGGATGGCTGGTGTTTCATGACCTTAACCAGGGCATCAGTCTCCAGGTCTACTGTGCCTTTTTTGCCTGAAATTTAATTAGTTAAATGGATTTTTTAAGACTTCTACACTTCAAGGTGCATATAAGGGAATACAAAAACCCTGAAGTCTACTCAAAATATATTGATGATAACAACTTTTCCACAGAGTAAAAGTGATCTGTCAGATGTACTGTGTAATGTTCATACAAACTGCTGAGTCATCTTGCTAAACTCTACTTAAAAGATAAGGAAAAGTCTCAAATTGATAAGCTACCAAATTTAAAAGTCAGAAGAATAAATAATAAAGATTCACACAACTTTCTAAGTCTTAATGAATTCACATTCATTGCAAAGTATATATTCAGGTCACACTGATAACTCTCCTTTCAAGAACATATAATTAAAACAAATTACAAAGATATTACTTACTCTTTTGATGTAAAATTTTGAAGAGGTATGTGACAATGTGGTCAAGGGTCGCACAGCAGCCTGTACACACCATCGTATCTGGAACAGGACAGAGTAGCACATGCAAGTCTTAGTCTAGGGGGTAGAAAATATTTACTTACTTTTCTGGTGCAAAAGTTTGTACAGGTAAGTGACTATATGGTCCAAAGTTGCACAGCAACCACTGCAGACCATTGTGTCTGAAAAACATGACCCACCATTAGTATAAACTACTTTTGTACATAATACCTTAAAAATCTACATATTCATTTATATATACATGTATATATATACTGTATATAGATTTTTGTTTGCCAGAACTGCACTACCTGGCCTCGAATGTAATGCCTGATTTACTTCATATAAAGTCAAATGCCTGATTTTTGTTATTTTCAAATATTTGTTTCCAAATTGGTCTATTTCAGTTAACAGTATTATATTAAGAACATGTATTACTTACTTACTTAGGTTAAGATAGGTCAGATTAGGTAGGTTAGGTAAAGTTTGACCAAATTTCTATGTTAGTTTTAACTCAAAAATCCAGCGTTGAATGTAATGAAAAGCCAGATTCTGGGTGAGCCCCAGAGGCTCCCTGAAGCTATACTAATTAAATGCCATACTACGGAGTCATCAGTCGCAGAGTTCTTGTATGCCTACTGAGGACCAGGAGCCAGGATCTGGCTCCCTCAGAGAGGCGCAGGGAGCAATGGCCCATGAACTCTTTACATTTAAAGTTTGTCATCTTCCCATCAACCAGGAAAGGCAACCAGAAAGGTAGGCGAATCAAAACAGACTACTGCCAAGTTGAAAAATGCAACCTATGTTCTCTTAAATATCAAAAGAACTCCCCACCAAGAAACAACCAAAACTTCATCCAACTAGCTCCCCCGCTTGTTAGCTCTATCCCGCCCTTCTTGGGGGTAGGTGGGGGGAGGGAGCCAGCCCGCCACCAGCTAGTTCTTGAATGATAACAACAGCTGACAACAGCTGACCGGAGGGAGGGAGGGTGGGTGTCAGAAAGCCTCTGGGGCTCGCCCAGAAACTGCCATTTCATTTGTTATTATTTACACTTCAAACACAAGAGTGACCTCATGAAGCCGGTTCCATATTTTTGCATTGGCGGGACTCAAGAAATAACCAAAGTGCATGCATTACATTTACTGAAACCCAAGGGATAATACATTAAAAAGGAATAATTTCTTACTCACCCAATTAACGATTACAGTTCCAGACACTCGGATATTAATGGAGGTATATAACATCACGAGCACACACCACATTACCTGTGTGTGTAGATTCTGAGCTCTCTCTCTTTCTCTCTCTCCCGTGGAGTGTGGGGACACTCCTCTCACAAAAACGCGCAGGGGAAAACTTTACTCACAGAATCATACTCATTTACTAATACATACTGTCAATCACAAATGAAACAAAAATTACCATAAATTAAACAAACTGGTATTTTAATAAGAAAAACATTTACATTAATAACAACAAAAGCTAAACTTTATATACCAGTCAATACAGCAGGTGGCATTGCGGAGGCAGTAAGAGGGGGGCCTGGACTGCAATAAGACCTAGGCACAACCTAAAAACTCATACCCAGCAAGTGCAGACTCAAAGAACCTCTCCATGCTGACCTCTGCTGAGGTTTGCTAGGGTCATCGCGGATCCCAACAGTAAAGAACAAACCAGGAACTGGGCAAAGGGCCGTTCACCAAGACTAGAAGAACTAACTCCGACTACAACCCAGCAGCACAGGTGGCTCAGAAGGGTGTAAGTGGTACACCTTAAATGAAGCATATTGACATCGATGCCTCACAGAGGAATCAAAGACTCATGCACACTCTGGGTGAGGCTCCAAGGTGAACAGTTTATCAGACCCTACACAAAAGAAAACACATGCATATGAAACAAATAAGAAAAGATGAAGTACACAAGCAAATGGGCTCCCCTGAAGGACAGTCCAAAGAAAGGCATCACATCTGAAAAACCAGGACTTGAAGAGCACTATTAAATATGAGAAGCAGAAGTGACACTGCACAGTCGCACCAGACTTAACAACCGAGGAGTTGTCTGGGCAGAGCCAACAAATGGGGGTGCTGCCACCTGGTAGTGGGCAGCTGCTACTAAACAGTGAATTACCTAAATATTGGGTGGATCATTTCAGTATCTTGTTTTCTATGCATTCTTTACCTCGTTGTTGTCAGGTTTATTTTGCTCTAACTTTTTGATGTTATTCCTGGATCTGAGTGACTTACTATTCTTAGTTCCCTGCACCTCTAGAGAGAGAGAAACCAGGTTTTGACCTCTGGTTCTCAGTAGGGTTACAATGACCCGAAAGGGCCTGGCACGAACAGAATTGGGTAGAGCTATCCAGGTTGCTAGCAACAGGTAGCCACCATAGAAGCCTCCTAGAAAAAGTTCTTTATTAATCTTTTTGGAGTACATGCTGGTCTTCTTAACCCAGTTGTAGCAGAATGCAGTCACAGTACTGTACCGTATATAAAGCTCAATACTAAGATCGGGCAGGCAGGAAGGAGGGATAGGATGGGCAGGAAGGAGGGATAGGATGGGCAGGAAGGAGGGATAGGATGGGCAGGAAGGAGGGATAGGATGGGCAGGAAGGAAGGATAGGGCAAGCAGGAAGAAGGGAATAGGGCAGGAAGGGTTTAGGGATTGAGGAGATGAGATTTAGGAATCGGGCTGGCAGAAGGGAGGAATGTGTCAGGCAGGCAGAATTGGGTGGAAGAGATTTTTGGGAATGGGCAGGCAGGCTTAAAAATTAACACTTTGGCTGCGCATTACATCACATGATAGGGGTAGCTAAATATGCTCAGACTGTACAGGTCATCATATGAAGAAATCTACAAGGGCCGTGATGAGGGTTCGAACCTACGTCCGAGAGGATCCCAGACGCGCCTTAATCGACTGTGCTACGACGCGGTTAAAAGAATTGCAACTGGGAGTTCAACCAACGTCACATGGATCCTCCAGTCTCTCCGAGACACAAACCAGGGTTTTACACAATTCCCCTGTGCACCTGAGCTCTGTCAATAAGCTATTCTACCTCTTACTGTCGAACCCTCATCACGGCCCCTTGTCAATTTGTTCATTTGATGCATCAATGCATCACGCTATTGTGATTTCTGTGTGTAAATCATATGAAGTATTAGGGAACTGCATAAGATTTAAAAGTCTTACACATACATGGGGCTCACAACTGCTTCCTCAGGCCTCCAGTAACAATCCCCCCATTTTGACAAAGAATCCCGAGTCCCTCACTTTCCTTCCAGGGTCTTGGTAAAAAAATGAGGACTACATCTGGCAGCATCACCATCTAGTGTCTGAACGTGCAGGGCAACCGTATGAGGAGCCACTTAACTTTTAACAATAGCAAATGAGTAAGTGGTTATGTTTCATGCAAAATATGTGCCATGTCCAATTATATGATTTAGGCTTATATATATATACAGTACATATATATATGCATGCCAAAAATCTTTACCCCTGAAGGATTTGAACCCAGCCAGCCAGGGCTCCATGCCTCTTGGCATGTCCAGTACATTTACCACAATGCCACATTGACTGTACAAAAGAATTAACAGTCGTCTGACTCTTAACCCAATTCCAGTGACCATTTTGGGCACATATTTCATCAAATCACTTCATCATGCTGGGGCCACGTGAGTATCATTTGTGTGTCAAGCTTCAATGGTCCCCAAGCTAACATGCATCAGAAAACTCTTTACCCTTGAAGGATTTGAACCCAGACAGCGAAGGCTCCATGCTCCTTGGTGTGTCTAGTACTTTTACCACTTGAATCCGACCAACCATAAGTCAGGCCCAACCAGGTCCTAACCTGAGAGGGAACCAACTGGGACTTCCGCTAGTTCACCAGGAACCCGAAACCAGTAAGCTGGGAAAGAATCAGATCCCTGGCTAGCAGACAAGCAGACAGGCTGGAAGCCCAAATCAGCCAGTCGTCGAGGTAGGCCAACACCCGAAGACACAACAATCGAGGATGGGTCACCACGACTAGAGTCAAACGTGTAAAAATGAGAGATGCCAGATTCAGCCCAAACGGGAGAATCTGAAAGAGGTAAGCCTGTCTCCGCACAGTGAAACCTAACCAATCCCTGAACCTTGAATGAATAGGGATTTGCCAATATGCATCCTTGAGGTCCAGAAAAATCATCCAAGCACCCGACTCGAGAATGAGTTGGACCTGGGATAACGTAGTCATCTGAAAGGTGGAGCACTGTATTAACCAATTCAATATGGAAATATCGAGAATGTACCGGAGTTTGAACAATTCCATTTCGGGACCAGAAACAAGTGGGAAGCCCACTGAAAAGACAAGGTCGTTTCGACCATGTACAAAAGCAACCATTCCGAGATGATTTGACATCTCAGGAGAGGAGGTCTACCCTAAAAGCCCTGAATCCCCCCCCATCCCCCCCCAATGGGGGCGGGATGACCCAACTCCACTGCAGGCCGCAAGACACAATCTGAAACACCCATGAATCATGGGAAAAAGAGCAGGCAAACCAAGCAAGCCTCTCCTCAACCACCACGTCAAAGGGGTGACCCATGAAAGAGCCAGTGCGAATCACGAGAGCCAGGCCTCTGAGAGGAGCGAGCACAGCGCCAACCAGACAAAGAGGAGGAGGCTGGTGGAAACAAACCCGACTCGGCTGCCGGCACCACAGAGAACCCACCTCCAACACAGGTGCAGCCATGGCTGCACCTCAGGAAGGCCGAGACTCCCCGTGCCAGACACATACCAGATCAGAAACAGGACAGCAACTCACAGAGGCTGCTGACAAAAACTGAGAAACCCTCAGGAAACAGCAGAAAACAAAATGGAGAAGCAGAAGTGAGAGTCTGGGCCCATGTTGAATTCAAAGCAAGAGCAAATACAACCTGCTGATATGCGAGATGGGAAGCAAAACCTAACTCAAACTTGTACATGGAAGAGGGAGAAGATTCCCTCCCCCTCCCAACAATAGACCATTCACAGAGGGAACGAGAGTGCACAAAAGGTCAAACGAAACCCAAGAGCTCCATTCAGACTCCCTTCCCCCCTAAACCCTGGAAACCACAGCCAAGGGCCCTGGGACAGAGCCCTCGCCCACACCCACCGCCCGAGAAGGGGAAGTGGAGTCCAAGGAAAAAAAGCCTTGAAGGAAGGGGACAGCTC